AAGTAGAGCTTATGTATCAATGAATGCTGCGTTTGATGGCTGCGTTCTTTCGAAGTGTTTTTTCGGACACGCACGAGGAGCACAAATGAACGCAGCGCACGGAGCGAGAAAACGGGCAAAAGCTGCAAGCTAAGAAGCATCGCAGACACTCGCAGGCACCGCGCCAACGCGGCCGAGCAGATCACCACCTTTGGAAGTAGTCTTCCAACACTGCAGGCTGACAAGCACAGCGGGCATGGAGAGTTGGATCCATCACCTCTCCTGTTCGTCTTCTCGAAGATCGCGCCAGTCTGGCGGCGATCACAAGCGAACGAGCGTGGCAACCCTGCCGGCTTAAAAGCACCACAGAGACTCAGAGACAGAGTCCCCCCCCCTCTTCCACCTCATCTTCCTCCACCTCCGCCCTCCTCTTCCTTTTCCTCCTTCTCCTCCTGCTCGTCCTCTCCCTTCCCTTCCTCCCCCTCCTCGTCCTCTTCAGCAGAGAAGCTGAACGCGGTCGTGCAACGCATCACTTTCGGAACTAGATCACGCCGGTCCGGCGGCGAACAGAAGCGGAAAACGAAGCAAACCTGCAGGCTTAGAAGCGCCGCGCAGACTGGCAGACAGAGTCCCCCCTCCTCTTCCACCTCATCCTCCTTCGCCTCCGCCCTCCTCTTGCCCCTCCTCATCCTCCTCCTCCTGCTCGTCATCTCCCTTGTTTTCCTCCTCCTCCTCGCCCTGCCAGCACAGAGGCTGAGGGCGGCCGCGCAGCGCAGCACTTTTGGAACTGGATCGCGCCAGTCTGGCGACGAACAAAAGAGGAAAGCGAGGCAAGCCTGCAGGCTTAGAAGCACCACAGAGACTGGTAGACAGAGTCCCCCCTCCTCTTCCACCTCATCCTCGTCGGCCTCCGCCCTCCTCTTGCCCGTCCTCCTCCTCTTCCTCCTGCGCGCCCTCTCCCCTCGCTTCCTCCTCTTCCTCGTCTCCCTCAGCAGAGAAGCTGTGCGCGGCCGTGCAGGGAATCACTTTTGCAGGTAGCATTCCAACACCGCAGGCTCAGAAGCACCGCGGGCAAGCAGGCCTGGATCCATCACCTCTCGTGCTCGTCTTCCAGGAAATCGCGCCAATCCGGAGGCTGCCAAGAATCGATGATGCGCCGGGATCCACCTCTGGTGCTGCCGCCGATGTCAAGGTAATCACCCTCTTTCGTGCGCAGACGACCATGTCCCAGCGCCACAATCGCCGCATTGCGGTTCTTGAGCAACTCGCCGCTCTCCCACTTCCGCAGTACATCCCATTGCCTGCGAGTGAAAGTGGCGTCGTCTGCAGGCTGACTAGCACCGCGACGCTGCACCTCTTGCCGATGGCGATCGAGCCGCTCACCTTCGTTGTAGCGCGCAATGGCCTCCGCCTTGTCACGGTGGAGGCGGCGGCGCTCTCCCTGAGAGACCTGGTTGCGATCGGCGAGCTCTGCGGGTGCATCACTGGGCTCGACGTGCATGGCTCGCTTGAGCATGTCAACGTCGAAGCGGCCGGAAAAGGCGAGGACCTCCCAGATCTGCTTCGTCCCGGAAACGCGTTGCAGACGCCGACACCATCGCTTGCGCTTTTGCTCTCTGATGAACTTACGGAGGCTGCCAATGCCCTGTTCCCTGCCCTTGCCTTTTTTCCCTTGCCTTTGCTCGCAAGCAGAGCAGCGCCGCGTTCCTGCTGTGCTGACGTTTTTCCCTTCGCTTTCCCTTTCTCGGCATCTCGGTTCTGCAGCTGAACCTGGAAGGCAGACCTTTCGTACTCTTCTCGAGCACGTTTGACAAGTTCCCCGCGCTCCTCCTCAGTAAGGACATGGCACATGTTCGTAATGTTCTTGCTTCGGAGGAAGTCGTGGCGGATCCGCAGAACAGCCTGAATGGCCCGAGCAGTCTCTTCCTGCGACGCATAGGCTGCGTCGCAGTCATCGCCGGGCTGAGGAGCACCAGCGTCTGCCCTCTTCATGAAAAGCAGAAGGCTGAGCTGATGGAGAAGTTTGGGATCGTAGCTCTCCTCGTACATCTGCCCCCAGTACTCCCTCATCTCGCGATGCACGTCCTGCGCGCGCTGATGAACTTCATCGTCAAGCTCGTTGCGCTGCGGCGACGGCGAGCGGCTCGGCATGGGTTGCCATTCTGGCGAAGGAGAACGGCTCGGCAAGGGTTCCCAGTCGACTTCAGTTTCGGCTTTGTCTGAAGCAATATCGGAGACGACGAAATCTCCTAAGGCAATATTCCGCTTCTTTGTCTCCTTAGGCTGAGAAGCACCAGGGAGAGTAATGGTGATTGCAACAGCATCGTGGGAATCGTTGCGCATGCCACGGTCCTGGTACGATGCGCCAACAGCGATGGGCTTGAACTGCGCAGTGGCCCCAGAGACCGCCGTCACCTTGGCGATCACTTCGATGCGCAAACACATCCCACAACTGCTCGTCATCGGTGCGGCGCTGCAGAGCAACGCGGGTCTGCGTGGACGTCAGGTTGTTGTCGCCGACAATGACGCGGACAACTGGCGCGTCCACTTGCGGACCTGGAAGGCTGTCCAGGTAGAGTCGGGGGAGCCTGACCGCGCGTTGTTTGGTCAGCACCGACGGCGGCTTCGCTCCGCAAGCGATGTGCAAGTTGGCAGTAATCAAATGAATTCTACCATGGCCTTCTATTTGCACACCGAACCGTGTGATCGCCGCGCCCACATGTCTCCCGATTGGGATGTGATGGATATGCTTGTCTCCCTGCAGGGAAACATCGACAGGCTGAGAAGCACCGCCGAATCCCCACAGGCATAGGTAGTTGTCAACCTCGGAGAAACAGACATTGTCGCCAAACGGTTTCGTCAGGATGTCTGCCGCGTCAGCCATCGCTTTGCTGAGGCCTTGCCGAGACGCGCCGACTTCGCAAGCAAACAACAGATCAGCATCACCGTCCTGGACGATTGTGGCGCACACGCGGGCAAAGTTGGAGAAGTGAGTGCCAGCCCTTTTCCCAGTCATCATATTCTGATCGAATCCGAAGTTGAAGGAGGCGATCGTGAAAGACGCAGGCTGAGAAGCACAGCGACCAGTGGCGACCGCGGGCTCCTGTCGGCTTTCGTTCGCAGGCTGAGAAGCACCACGAGAAGCTGACGCTGAAGATGCCATCGCGAGACTGGCGCCTTTTCACCACAGAAGAGTACCGTGGCAAAAACTCTGTAAGCCAAAGACAGCTATCAAAAGCAAAAAGGAACATGAGGAGTCCATATGCTATCTTCTGATCCCACTAGAAAGCTATCAGCAAAAGCTGTTCGGTCTACTACTACTACTACTACTACTACTACTACTACTACTACTACTACTACTACTACTACTACTACTACTACTACTACTACTACTACTACTACTACTACTACTACTACTACTACTACTACTACTACTACTACTACTACTACTACTACTACTACTACTACTACTACTACTACTAGTACTACTACTACTACTACTACTACTACTACTACTACTACTACTACTACTACTACTACTACTACTACTACGACTACTACTACTACTACTACTACTACTACTACTACTACTACTACTACTACTACTACTACTACTACTACTACTACTACTACTACTACTACTACTACTACTACTACTACTACTACTACTACTACTACTACTACTACTACTACTACTACTACTACTACTACTACTACTACTACTACACTACTACTACGACTACGACTACGACTACGACTACTACTACTACTACTACTACTACTACTACTACTACTACTACTACTACTACTACTACTACTACTACTACTACTACTACTACTACTACTACTACTACTACTCTACGAGTAGAAGGGAGAAGGGAAAGGACGGAGAGGGAGGGCTCGGAGACCCTTGGAGGGGGGGATGTGCCCATCCGAGGGAACGGTGCACCCCCCCCTCCCCGTCGTCAATTCGAGGGAACCAGCCATGGCAACGACCCCCCTCCTATCCCCCTCCGCGACCTGAGTAGACCACCCAGGCCAGCGGAGGACGTCATAGGAGGCAAGGGTTCTGACGTCGATGAGAAAAGAAAAAGGAGGAGCGAGTAGAAGGAGGAGGAGAGGCGTACGAGTACTACTACCACTACAATGGCGTGTTCTCCACAATGCGTCCCGGGAATGGAATTCTGGGAGGTGGAAGAGCAGGAAGTGGCGTGCAGTTGGCTCCGGGCATCCAAAATGTGCGCCAGGAGTGGCAGGAGTGGCATTCGGCGATGGCGTTCGGGGCAGTCGAAGAACACGAAGTGGCCTACAGTTGGCTCAGGGCATTCAGAATGTGCCCTGGGAGTGGTGTTCTGGGAATTCGAAGAGCACGAAGTGCCCTACAGGTGGCTCTGGGCATTCAGAATGTGGCCCGGGAATGGCGTTCTGGGAAATCGAAGAGCACGAAGTGGCCTACAGTTGGCTCCGGGCATTCAAAATGTGGCCCGGGAATGGAGTTCTGGGAGCTCGAAGAGCACGAAGTGTTAACTGTTGCGTCCGGTTATTCAAAATGTGGCCCGGGAATGGAGTTCTGGGAGGTCGAAGAGCACGAAGTGTGTGACTGTTGGCGAAAAACGAGCCCGGTTCGTCCGCCCGGCGTCCGCCCGGCAGCTCGCCGACATCCGCCCAGACCCCCCTGTGGAGTAAGCTGCTGCCCTCTTTGAACCCTACTAGAAACCTATCAGTCTACGCTGTTAGGTAATAGAAAAGAAAGCTCAGAAGAAGAGCTCAGAGGGCTTCGGAGAAGCTCAGAATAAAAAAAGAAAGCTCGGAAAAAGAGCTCCGAATAAAAAAGAAAGCTCGGAAGAAGCGATTATATAAAAAAGGAAGAGGGGTTCGGAGAGGCCCCGCCGCCTTCTGAGAAGGCCTGCCCCCTCTCGTTGTTCCCCCCCCCGGGCGCGCCGCCAACAGCAGGCGCGAGGCCACCAGCGCTGGCCCCCCGGGCCCAACGCGCGGCCCCAGCGCGGGCCGAAGTGCCGCGCCTGCTGCGGTAACGGCGGTGTCCGTCTTCATCGATCTGGGACGCCTCGCGGGGAGCGTCGCCGTCGACGGCCGTCCGCCGTCGATTGCTCCTTCGCCCGAGCGACGACGCCCGTCGTCGCCGACGGCGCCGAGCAGGGGGCGTGCCTCGGCGAGCGGTGAGCAATCTTTTTTTGGATTCCGGCAAGTTTACTTGCATGGCGTTCGCCCCCCCCCCCCTCGCCCCTCTTCAAGCGAATACTAGCGTGCAAGTGCCTTTCGACTTGCGTGATTTCCGCGCCCCCCCCGAACGTGCAAGTCGTCTGCGGCTTGCTTCAGGCTCAGCCCCCCCCCGTCCATGCAAGTGAGCTTGCCAGAGTCTAAAACAAAAAAACAGGCTCCCTCCTCCTCCTCCTCCACCTCCTCCTCTTCTTTTTCTTCATGTTAATATTATTGCAATTACTATTATTATTAGTGGTAGTGTTAGTGTTGTCAGTTTTAGTTTTCTTGTTAGTGCTCGTCTTCTCCTTACGTGTTAGTAGCTGTACTCATCTTATTATTCGTAGTGCTTGTATGTTCTATAATTAGTAGTCGTATCATTTGTATGGGTCTTATTTATAAAATTACCAGCCCCTGCTACTGTTATTACTTGTAGTCGTTTTCTGTTGTTTCTTCTTATGGTATTCGTCATATACTCATTATTAGTTAAGTTCGTCTTCTTCGTTTTCCTCTCATTAGTTTTCTAGGTACTATTATGTTTCTGCTTCTCCTCCTCCTCCTCCTCCTCCTCCCTCCTCCTCCTCCTCCTCCTCCTCCTCCTCCTCCCCCTTCTCCTCCTCCTCTCGCTCCTCCTCCTCCTCCTCCCCCTCCTCCTCCTCCTCCTCCTCCTTCTCTACCTCCTCCTCCTGCGCCCCCTCCGCCTCCTCCGCCTCCTCTGCCTCTCCCTCCTCCGCCTCCTCGTCCTCCTGCTGCTCCTCCTCCTCATCCTCCTCCTCATCCTCTTCCTCCTCCTCGGCCTCCGCCTCCGCCTCCTCCGCCTCCTCCTCTTCCTCCTCCTCCTCCACCTCCTCCTCCTCCTCCTCCTCCTCCTCCTCCTCCTCCCCCCCACCCCCCTCCTCCCCGATCCTCCTCCTCCTCCTCCCTCCTCCTCCTCCTTCTCCGTCTCCTCCGCCTCCTCCGCTTCCTCCTCCTCCTCCTCCTCCTCCCGCCTCCTCCTTCGCCTCCTCCTCCTCCTCCGCCTCCTCCTCCCTTCTTTCCTCCTCCTCCTCCTCCTCCTCCTGCTCCTGCTCCTGCTCCTGCTCCTCCTCCTCCTCCTCCTCCATTCCTTGTCCATACCTATACGACCGCCCTGCGGGCGATAAGGAGGTTTGGGGGGATTGAAATCAAATGCCCACCCTGACTGGCCTCAAGCCTGCCACCTTGATCTATCTTACCTGATTTGATGGATTGGGTTGGGTGGATTGGATTGGATGGGATAGGATGGATGGGATAATTTAAGATGGGTTGGATTGGAAGAAATGGATTTGAAAAGATAGGATGGATTGGATTGGGTGGGATTGGATTGGGTTGGGTGGATTGGATTGGGTGGGATAAGATAAGTTGGGACAATATGGGTTGGAAAAGATAAGATGGATAGGATTGGACACGATGGGTTGGACAATAAAAGCTGGATTGGATAAGAAAGCCCACCGTGGGGTCCGAAAAAAATGAATTCTGAAATTAGCGACATGCGTTAGCGCCGGGATGCCCGGGACACCCGGGACACCCGGGACACCGCCCGGCCCAACTGGGACACCTCCCGGCCACCGGCGGACGGGAAACGGACTTTCGCTCCTACTTCGGCCTAGCTACAGGAGGATCACGCGCAGCTTCGCCTCGCCCTCACGCACGACACGAACACGAAACCGAAACCGATTTCCTGGTGGGGGGTCTCCGTTTCACTGCGATCTCACCCCCCAACCTCCGAGAAATAATTTCATCCCGTCGCACCCCGAGGCCAGTGTTTAGGGCGGTCTGGGCGTTTCGCCTGAGACTTCCTCACCACTGATGACCCTGAGGCTTAACAGGTGGCAGCAGCTTCACAGATGGAGGGCGGTTCGTTTTCAAAATGTGGCTTCCGCCTTAGCGCCGCGCACATTCATGTTAAAAGGTGCAAGTGTTTCACGGATTGAGGGCGGTTCCTTTTCAAACTGTGGCTCTCGCCTTAGCGCCGCGCGCATTCGTTGTAAACATAAAGGATTTGACGGAATCCAATGGTAAGCGTACCAGATAATGCTTGGGAGGGATTCAGGATTGTGCGGGTGCAACAGTTATGTTGGTTCGCGGTGTCGCAGTCCCAAAAACGGCGTTCTGGCACAATTCCAGATAGTCTGGACGCAACAATCAGGTTGATCCGTGGCGTGGAGATCCCGACTACAATGTTTTGGCATGCTTCAGGGTCCTCAAGGGTGTCTTCCAACGAGACAGTTCTCTCAGTGGAAATGAACCGTTGTAGGGGCGTATGAAAAAGGAGCTTGGAGGGCGGGTTAATTCCAACATCGTGATGACTCTTTGGTTTACACTGGTCCTCCTCCTCCTCCTCTTCCTTCTGTTCCTCCTGCTCCTCCTCCCCCTCCTCCCTCCTCCTCCTCCCTCCTCCCTCCTCCTTCCTCCCTCCTCCCTCCCTCCTCCCTCCTCCCTCCTCCCTCCTCCCTCCTCCTCCCCTTCTCCCTCCTCCCTCCTCCCTCCTCCCTCCTCCCTCCTCCCTCCCTCCCTCCGCCCTCCTCCCTCCTCCCTCCTCCCTCCTCCCTCCTCCCTCCTTCCTCCTTCCTCTCCTCCTCCATTCCTTCCTTATGAATGACTTTTCCTTGTCGCACCCCGAGGCCGGTTTTTAGGGCGGTCCGGGCGTTTCGCCTGAGACTTCTCACCATTTACGACTCTGAAGCTAAAAACATGATACCTGTTTCAAAGATGGGGGCGAGCCGATTTCAACATGTGGCTCTCGCCTTAGCGCGGCGCACATTCTTTTCACAAAGTTAAACAGTTTCGCGGATTAGAGGGCGGGTCGTTTTCAACATGTGGCTCTCGCCTTAGCACCGCGCCCATCCGTTTAAAAAATTGTAAGAGCTTCACGGCTTGAGGGCGGGTCGTTTTCAAACTCTCGCCTTAGCGCGGCGCACACTCGTGTTAAAAAATGCAGGAGCTTCACGGATTGAGGGCGGGCCGTTTTCAACATGTGGCTCTCGCCTTAGCACCGCGCCCATCCGTTTAAGCATTTGTAAGAGCTTCACGGCTTGTGGGCGGGTCTCGTTTTCAAACTGTGGCTCTCGCCTTAGCGCCGCGTGCACTCTTTTCAAACATTTCCCAGAATTTCACACATTGACGGCGGATCGTTTTCAAAATGTGGCTCTCGCCATAGCGCCGCCCACATTTTCAGAAATGTGCAAGACCTTCGCAGATTGAGGGCGGTTCCTTTTCAAAATGTGGCTCTCGCCTTAGCGTCGCGCGCACTCGTCTTAAACATCCTCAAAATTTCCATGGCTCCCCATGATCACGGGACCAAAACTTATGTTTAAGACGGACCCAGGATTATGCGGGTGCAACAAATATGTTGGCTCGCGGTGTCAAAGTCCCCCAAACGGGGTTATGGCACGTTTCCAGATCGTCAAGACGCAGCAGTCAGGTTGATCCGTGGCGTGGAAATACCGATAATAATGTTTTGGCATGCTCCAAGGTCTTCCAACGGTTGTCTTCCAACGAGGCATTTCCCTCAATGGATCTGAACCCTTGCAGGGGACTAGTAGGAGGAGCTTGAAGGCAGGGTTGATTCCAACATCGTTGATCACTCTTGGGTTTACACTGGTCCTCCTCCCCCTCCTCCTCCTCCTCCTCCTCCTCCTCCTCCTCCCTCCTCCTCCTCCTCCTCCTCCTCCTCCTCCTCCTCCCCCTCCTCCACCTCCTTCTCCTCCCTCCTCCACCTCCTCCTCCTCCTCCTCCTCCTCCTCCTCCTCCTCCTCCTCCCCCTCCTCCTCCTCCTCCCTCCTCCTCCTCCTCCTCCTCCTCCTCCTCCTCCTCCTCCTCCATCAGTCCCTGAGATCCGACCCAGCAGCAAAAAAACACAACACCTCGCGGAACTTCGCGACCAAGAGCTCCAGACTCCCCGTCTGCCTGCGCCGCGGTTCCAGGCGGAGGCAGATGTGAGGGCGCCAGGGCCCGAAGCGCTGCAAGATGCCCAGCGTGACAACACCACCGCTCCTGGAGCCCAAGGGTCCCCTCTTCCGACGCCTCGCCGCCCACTCTCCTCCCTGTGCCCCCCCGGCCTCCACAACTGGCCTGGGGAAACCAAACGGTACCCATACCGCTACTCCCTGGACCTTTCCTGGGGTGCGTTCCGACCAGGATTTCGGGGCGAATCCAGCGGTGGCGACGAGGGCCGCTCAGGAGGCTCTAAAAAAGGGGAAAACGGGCGGAGAGTAGAGGAAAAGGTAGGTACCCATACCGTATGGGTACCTACCTTTTCCTCCTCTGATGGCACCCTCCTCCTCTTCGCCGGCAGCACGGGCTCCCGAGGAGAGCGAGCCGCGATGGGGGCCGTCGAGGCGGGCGGCCAACGCCCGCTGGGCTCCAGGGGTGAGAACTGCCTCCGGCGACGCGCACCCACGGTCCACTCCGCCCCCCCCCGTGGGTATATATATATATATATATATATATATATACATATATATATACATATATATATATCGGTGTGTGTGTGGTGTGTGCTGTGTGCTGTGTGCTGTGTGCTGTGTGTTGTGTGTTGTGTGTGTTGTGTGTTGTGTGTGGTGTGTGTGCTGCTCGCTCGTCAAGAGGAGACGAGGCAGATCGTGTCTTGTCGGACTCTGCTCGGTCACGAGGCAGATCGTGTCTTGTCGGACTCTGCTCGGTCGAGGCCTCGACGGTCGCGCGGCGAGCCGAGGGGCGAAGGCTGCGTGCTCGTGCGTGCTCGCCTTAAGTCGGGCCTGTCCCTCCACAAGAGGAACATCCACGAACAGTCAAACGACAGTCTGGAGACGATGTTCCGACGGCTCCTTGGAATCTTTTGAGTACGTG